ATTACGTTATATATAATATTACTCTATTATATTATAATATATTATAAGAATATTCTATTATAATGTAATAGAATAATATGATATAATAATATTATATTATATAATATAATAATTTTATAATGTTATAATGTAATTATAATAGAATACATTACATTACAAATGATATATTATATATAATTATATATAAATATAATGTTCTAGCATTATAGTAGTATCATTATTCTGATAATCGCACTTCAGATAGCGATAACACAAAATAAAATGCAACGCAAATAGAATGCAATTGTCACGGTTTTATGTCAAAGTTATTTATTCGATATATATCGCAATTGTCGTACAATTATAACTCAAGCATCAGCGTAATGAAGAAATTACGCTTGCAATTGAAATCAGTTCTCGAACTCTCAGCCGAGAATTTTGAACAACGAGAACATACATATATTTACGTTCTCAGATGTCAACGTTCGAATCGAAAATGCACTAACGCGGCTTCCCCGATGATTTACAACCTCCTGAACTTATCGCGGCACGTCCTGATCAAGCACTTGAAGAAAACGTAGCTGTCGAGACACTCGTCGTTATGCGTCGCCACTGAGAACAGAAACGATATCGTTCCGGTTAATCGTTATAATTACATATGGGATAAACAATGCGAACGACCACCGTGGTTTCGCGACAATGAAAACTGATTTATCGCATAATTGCATAATTTATTATCGCATAATCGCTTGGCCTCGCTCGCGCCAACGAATCGAAGCAAAAATACGCGGTAAGTACAGTAATGTCTCCCTAACTGACGCCCGGATCGCGCAGAAAAATGGACAATTTCGGGAGAAAAGATACGATTAATTGCGCTTCGCGGCTCGCTTTTATAGTTGCCGATCGTCAACAATTATAAAAACGAGGTGCAACGCTCGAACAATCGTGCCTTCCCTTCCCAAATTCTCCATTTTGTTGCCAAACTGAGCTTCAATTAGGGAGAACTTACTGCACGGTAATGTCTCCCTTACTGACGCTCAGATTGCGCAGAAAAATGGACGATTTGGGAAGTGGAGATACGATTATTCGAGCCTCGCGGCTCGTTTTTTATAGTTGTCGACAATTCGTGACTATAAAAATGAACCGCGAGGCTCGAATAATCGTATCTTCTCTTCCGAAATTATCCAATTTTCTGTACAATCCGAGCGTCAGTTAGGGAGACATTACTGTATGGAACACGTTCGGCTGATTTGAAACGACTTTGCAAGGAACGATGACACTTTTACGATTTCATTTAGGTTTGCGATGCACCATGACGACTGTAATTTGTTGCAATCGTTGTAATAATTACATTGGCCCTTGCAAAACATCGTGGATTCCCGTATGGCCGCGCTTACTTCCATCGGGATGTCAGCTAGATACACGTCGAGAATTTTTTCCATTTGTATTTCTGGTCCTATCATCTGTAATTAATTATTGAACGAGAAAGGATTAGGCGTTGCTGTCATAGCTTTTTTTTCTTTTTATTTTTGGTTCCGTTGACTTTAATGGACGGCTAAGACTCACGTATGCTGCCTTTTGGGCGCAGCAAACCATCGCGCAAGTTGCCTTTCTCAGACTCTCCTTATCGGTGATCTCATTGTCTTCCAGGTCTATGCTGTTCACCATGTATTTCAGATTGGCTGTAAAAACGCGGGAACATCCTCTTTAATGCTGATTTAACTAAGAAGGGCTCGTATAGGTTCGACGAGGTTAAAAATAATGGTCTGGCAAATATTGTTACGTTTTCGTCAGTCTTTTCGTCGATCTTCCTGGAGTACTCGCTTAATGTTTTATTTAGAAATTGATTAAACTATTAGATCTACGATGGACCGATTTGAACTGCTATTTTGCAGTAGTTGACGATATAAAATTGTCGTGTAAAATAGAAATACGATAAGTCGGAGAAATTAGTTTGGTGGTAAAAGCACGTGGGAAATACGATTTCTTAATCGTTCGTTAAAGCCGCGATTTGACAATAAATGCCGAAACGTTCGACGTTTCTGCAATATGTGATAGTTTCGGAGCAATTCAAGCGTTTACCTTTGGTAATATCCCATTCTTTAATGCATTCTAGACTTTCCGTCACGCTGATATTGAACATCGGAGACAAGGAATCTGCTAAATACAACGTGTCGTTCGACGAGTCGTATTCGTCCACCTGAAACAAAAACATATTAAAACTGCATCGCTGTTAAATAATTTGGAAGCGAATGACTCCCGCCATCGTCCGCTTTTCTTGCTTTCGAATTCGAGTCGCGCGAACATCGATTTCGTCCCGGCTCTAGCACTGTGCAAATAAATTAATCGAGAAATGACGTTAAAAACAAATATTATCTTATCTGGTTACTTGGAATAGTCGTACGTTAGTTCATTTGAATGTAGAAATTAATTCCTGATTAATTCGTCATCTTACAATTTATTCGAATGACATTTTTATCGAATGTTTTATTGGATCGAATATTTCTGGAAATAAGCTATTCGACGCTGTCTATTTCCATCATGTCAACGTCTCGTTTTGCTGCGACGATAGATTAATTTTAATACGATTATTTCGACGACGAACTTTTCGCAGTGAAATTCCTTTTAAGGAACAAACTTCGGCGAAACTGTAAACGTTCTCGTAATTTCTATTCTTTAATTTATACGATGCAACATATTGTACCAAATTATCTGTTATTTTATTTAAGGTATTTGAATGAAATAGAGGATAGACCGACTTTTTATTCTATTCGCAAAATGAAAATGATGGAGCATTTGAAATAATCCATCATGTTAAACGATTATTATCTCGTTTCACATAATGTATACCGAGCCTTGATTTAGAGGTACATTTGAGTACTTACAGCAGCGACGACGACGAATGCGAGCAATAGTAAAAACTTCATGTTATCAGTTTCTGGTTTCTTGTATCTCAACAACGCTTGACAATTGGCTTCGATTAACTGACATCGAACAGATCGACCGCAATACTTATATCCGAGGGGCCGAGGTTAAAGTTGACCCAGTTATGTCACCGAACTATTACATACGCAGAACATAACATTCCGGGTAAATCGAAGAGATAAATTGTTGGAATCACTCATTATGAGAATTAGAAAGTATTATTTTCCAGAATTGCTATGCAGTTGTTCGATATTTCGTGGAAACTTGCGAAAGAAAACGTCGGATTTGTGTCGGTACACATTTACGACAGTTGCAAACATATTTATAAATAACATATGGAAGGTCCGTTGTTTGCTGCAAAGCAAGTGAACAACCCTGTATATTTTTATGATCGGTTTATTCATGCTGAAGTTGTCATTTCACGATACATGATGCAGCGTTGTTGCGATGTCCGAGGCTCCCTTATCAGTCATTGAGGAATTATTGTCCGTATCGGAACCAACGATCATTAACGCACGTGGAGAAGGCGAGAGACGCTTCGCAGTTGTCCAACTTCTTGTTTGCTGAAATGTTGATAAATATTAGCGGTAACAGGAATCTTCTCGTCTCTCGTTGCGAATACGAATTTCCAGAAACGAGAATAAATGGAAACGAGGCCAATGGCTTCTTCCTGTGATCGTTTTTGTTCCGTGTTATGATCGAGTTTAAAACACGCTTGTTTACATACATAGCCACTTCGAAGAAGCTAACGATTTTTTAAACAACGTGGCACAATGATAATCGGCGAACCGTCGTCGGTGTTGTTCTTTTGCTTTTATCGCGTTGCAGCCATTAGCTCGTTTTTACACGTAACATGTGTCAAATCATTTGCAGTTGTTACAGTTATTATTTTCTCGGTCTCTCTTCCGACAATTACTTTCTATTTAAAAAGATTATGAAGTACATTTTCAAAAGGTTAAGTGCTGTTTAGAGTTAAACGTTTGTTTAAATTGTATCGTTTGCGAAGGTTAACTAAATCGTTTGTATCGATCGTCAGCACTGTTTTCTAATCCGCATCCGTATCTCGTGACAACTCGACATATTTATCTCCGATTCCAAATAAATAGTATGTTTTATGCTTCGCTTAACGCGTTAAGTATCAAAATTGAATCTAAAAGATTCCCACGTAATTATTAAATTAACTAGAAAAAAAGCCAAGATTAATCATGCCGAATAATACCTCGACTGTTTTGCATTCCATAGATTCTAATAATATTCAGTTTGTTCGGATATTTTGCAAATGAATAATAATAATAAATGAATAATAAAAATGAATTCTAAAAACTAATGAAAAGTTAATCACATCCATATGTAATGTTCTGCTAATTCAATTATACTGTAATTCAATTTCGCAATTTAATTACATCTTTCTTTAATCACATAATACGTCAACTACATTCTAATTCAATTACTTTATTCAAACCTTTCAATTCATTAATTAATTTATTATTTCAATCACGAGCCTAATGCAAATAGAATGCAATTGTTGTACAATGTAATTTATGTACAGTGTAATACTAAACTCATTTTTTGTCTCGTTTGCGTTATTTCCTACTGTAGCATTACCTACTAATTTGTTACTTTTAAATTTTGTATTTCTAATTTAATTACATCCTAATTCGTAATTTGAATTCAATCACATTGTAATTCATAATTAATGCCTTTTAATTCGTAACACATTACATCGGGACAAAATGAAGAACGGGCGAGGATTGAATATAGTTTTTCCAATGTTTTTTATTCAGATTCTTTAATTTGAGGTATCTTTACAAAAGTTTACAAAGCCATGATCTCTGTACGATTTATGTCACGAATACGATGCAAGCACAAATAATACGATCTGGACGCCATTCGTATAACGCGAACATAATATAAAATCAAAGAAATGATATAAACTCTTAAAAATAGTACAACATCGCAGAAATAACATAGAGTCACAGAAATTATATAAAATCGTAGAAATAATATAAAATCGTAAAAAGTATTTCTTCTGTTATACTTTCTCATTTTAGTCAACACCGAATGCCTTAAATCTCAGACAACGAAGAATAAAAGGTTAATTGGAACAACTCTGACCGAAATATCTCTAAACATTCGCAAAGTTTATTACCGAAAGCATGTTTTACAACAAATTCGAACTGCCACATAGTTTGGTTTCTTCGTTGCAGATAGTATGTAGATAATCGATGCTCGCGCAATTGTTCACAAATTGCAGACGCGATTTTGTTCGCGCGCGACGTTCAGGCTCATATCGAAGAATTTTTGTTGCAGTTCGCGATAACTTCTGTTCGAACGTGCACGATGCTGTTCGTATTCGACGCGCAACAAATCGTCGTAACTGCGGATCAATTTCTAAATTTCATCGTTCGAATCGTAAATGCACGGGGCGGCATTCTCGATGATTTATGCCCTTGCGACCATCTTACTAGTCGTCATTATCACGCACTTGAAGAAATCGTAGCCAAGGAAACACAAGTCCTTTTGATCTCGCACTGAAACAGAAACGACATCGTTGAAGTTAATCGTGATTATTATACACGGGATAAACGATGCGAACGTCCACCGTGCTTTCGAGACAATGAAAAATGATTTATAGCACGGTTTATTGTCGCAGAATTACGCGAATTGGTCCGCGCGAACGAATCGAAGCAAAAATACGGCCAGTCTGGAACGAGTTCAGCTGTTTTTAAACGTATTTAGAAGGAACGATGATATTTTTACAATTTCGTTTACGTTACATCCCGACTGTAATTCGTTGCACGCATTGCGATAAATACCTTGTTCTTTGCAAACAGTTGCGGATTTACGTACAGCCGTCTGTACTGATAACGGGAGAACTCGCAATTCGTCGACCATTTTTTCTATTTGTATATCTGTTCCCTCCATCTGTAATTATTTGATTGAAGAACGATTAGGCGTTGCTGTCACATATGTTTCGTTCCGTCCACGTTGATGGAGACTGAGACTTACCAATCCCCGTTTTTGGGCGCAACAAACCAACGCGCAACATGCTTTTTTCAAGCCCTCCTTGTCGGTGATCTCATTGTCCTCCATGTCCAAGGTGATTTTCCAATAGTCCAGATTCGCTGTGAAAACGCGTGAAAATCCTCTTTAGTATTCACTTAACGAATTGGTTACAATTCTTTTGACGAAGTGGAAAATTATCGGTTTGGCAAATGTTGTGCATTTTTGTCGCACGGTGAAACAACGGCGTAACGACGCCGCGTTTCTCCAATTGCTTTCCAGAATGTCTAATTATTTCGCGACGGTCATTTTTCGGAAATCCTCGTTATCGTAGATTGTTCGATAAAATCAGAAACGGAGGCAAATTTGATTTTTTATGCGAAAGGATCTCTCGTGTTAAAAAACGCGCGGGCAGTACGATTCCTTGTGTCTGTTCGAGCTGCGATTGACATGAACGCCAAAACATTTGATATTTTTGCATTATGTGATAGCTTTGAAACAATTCAAATCTTTACCTAACCTAACTCCTGTTTTATTAATGCACTCTAGACCCTCTTCTATGCTGATCTTGAAAACTACTCTAAAGTCCTCTGCTATTTGTAAATTCTCGGCTTCTTCTGACTCGAACGTTCTCATCGCCTGAAACAAAAACATATTAAAACTGCATCGCTGTTAAATAATTTGGAAGCGAATGACTCTCGCCATCGTCCGCTTTTCTTCCTTTCGAATTCGAGTCACGCGAACATCGATTTCGTCCCGGCTCTAGCACTGTGCAAATAAATTAATCGAGAAATGACGTTAAAAACAAATATTATCTTATCTGGTTACTTGGAATAGTCGTACGTTAGTTCATTTGAATGTAGAAATTAATTCCTGATTAATTCGTCACCTTGCAATTTATTCGAATGAAATTTTTATCGAATGTTTTATTGCATCGAATATTTCTGGAAATAAGGTATTCGACGCTGTCTGTTTCCAACATGCCAACGTCTCGTTTTGCTGCGGCGATAGATTTATTTTAATACGATTATTTCAACGACGAACTTTTCGCAGTGAAATCCCTTTTAAGGAACAAACTTCGGCGAAACTGTAAACGTTCTCGAAATTTCTATTCTTTAATTTATACGATGCAACATATTGTACCAAATTATCTGTTATTTTATTTAAGGTATTTGAATGAAATAGAGGATAGACCGACTTTTTATTCTATTCGCAAAATGAAAATGATGGAGCATTTGAAATAATCCATCATGTTAAACGATTATTTGTTATCTCGTTTCACATAATGTATGCCGTGCCTCGATTTAGAGGTACATTTGAGTACTTACAGCAGCGACGGCGACGAATGCGAGCAATAGTAAAAACTTCATGTTATCAGTTTCTGGTTTCTTGTATCTCAACAACGCTTGATAATTGACTTGGATTAACTGACATCGGACAGATCGACCGCAATATTTATATCCGGGGAGCCGAGGTCAAAGTTGCACCAGTTATGTCACCGAACCATTACATTCGCAGAACATAACATTCCCGGTTAATTCGAGGAGATAAATTGTTGGAATCATTCATTATGGTACTTAGAAAGTCTTATTTTCCTGAATTGCGGCACACGAATTGTTCGATATTTCGTGGAAACTTGCGAAAGAGAACGTCGGATTTGTTTCGGTACACATTTACGACAGTTGCAAACAATATTCATAAATAACATATGGAAGGTCCGTTGTTTACTGTAAAACGAGTGAACAACCCTGTACATTTTTATGATCGGTTTATTTATGCTGAAGTTGTCATTTCACAATGTATAATTCAATGCCGCGATGCCATAATGTCCGAGGCTCCCTTATCGGTCGTTGGGGAATTATTCATCGCATCGTAATCATCGATTATTAATGCGCATCGAGAAGATGAGAGATGCTTCGCAGTTATCCTTATATTGAAATGTGGATAAACATTAGCGGTGATAGGAATTTTCTCGAATTTTGCACCGAAGAACGGATTGCGATTAGAAAATGTAGAACGGGCGAGGATCGATTAATTTCTCCAATGTATTTTTGTTCAAATTCTTTTATTTCTGGCATCTTTGCAAAGTTTGATCAGCCATGATCTCTGTATTGATTTATGTCACGAATACGATACAAGCACAAATAATACGATCCGGACGCCATTCGCATAACGCGAATATGATATAAAATCAAAGAAACGACATAAACTCTTAAAAATAATACAACATCGCAGAAATAACATATAGTCACAGAAATAATATAAAATCGTAGAAATAATATAAAATCGTAAAAAGTATTTCTTTTGTTATACTTTCTCATTTTAGTCAACACCGAATGCCTTAAATCTCAGACAACGAAGAATAAAAGGTTAATTGGAACAACTCTGACCGAAATATCTCTAAACATTCGCAAAGTTTATTACCGAAAGCATGTTTTACAACAAATTCGAACTGCCACATAGTTTGGTTTCTTCGTTGCAGATAGTATGTAGATAATCGATGCTCGCGCAATTGTTCACAAATTGCAGACGCGATTTTGTTCGCGCGCGACGTTCAGGCTCATATCGAAGAATTTTTGTTGCAGTTCGCGATAACTTCTGTTCGAACGTGCACGATGCTGTTCGTATTCGACGCGCAACAAATCGTCGTAACTGCGGATCAATTTCTAAATTTCATCGTTCGAATCGTAAATGCACGGTGCGGCATTCTCGATGATTTATAACTGTTGCAATAAAGGATGACTCCTGTCCATCACGCACTTAAAGAAATTGCAGCCAACGAGACACTCGTCTTTTTGCTCTCGCACTGAAACAGAAACGATATCGTTGAAGTTAATCGTGATTATTATACACGGGATAAACGATGCGAGCGTCCACCGTGCTTTCGAGACAATGAAAAATGATTTATAGCACGGTTTATTGTCGCAGAATTACGCGAATTGGTCCGCGCGAACGAATCGAAGCAAAAATACGGCCAGTCTGGAACGAGTTCAGCTGTTTTTAAACGTATTTAGAAGGCACGATGACATTTTTACAATTTCGTTTACGTTCGCATTACACCGCAACTGTAATTCGTTGCACGCATTGCGATAAATACCTTGTTCTTCGCAAACAACTGTGACATCACGTAGAATGTTGTTTACTTCTACTGGAAAAATTGCTATTGATTCGAAAACTTCTTGCATTTGTATTTTTGTTCCTATCATCTGCAATTATTGATCGAAATACGATTAGGCGTTGCTGTCACATATTTTTTGTTCCGTCCACGTTGATGGAGACTGAGACTTACCAATCCCCGTTTTTGGGCGCAACAAACCAACGCGCAACATGCTTTTTTCATGCTCTCTCTATCGGTGATCTCATTTTCCTCTGAGTCCAACTTGTCCTCCCAATAGCGCAGATTCGCTGTAAAAACGCGAGAGGATCCTCTTTAGTATTCATTTAACGAAGCGGTTACAATTCTTTTGACGAAGTGAAAAACTATCGGTTTGGCAAATGTTGTGCATTTTTGTCGCACGATGAAACAACGGCGTAACGACGCCGCGTTTCTCCAATTGCTTTCGAGAATGTCTAATTATTTCGTGGCGGTCATTTTTCGGAAATCCTCGTTATCGTAGATTGTTCGATAAAATCAGAAACGGAGGCAAATTTGATTTTTCATGCGAAAGGATCTCTCGTGGTAAAAAACGCGCGGGCAGTACGATTCCTTGTGTCTGTTCGAGCTGCGATTGACATGAACGCCTAAACATTTGATACTTTTGCATTATGTGCATTCGAATCTTTACCTAACGTAACTCCCGATATAACAATGCACTCTTGAGCCTTTTCCGTGCTGATATTGAAAAATCTTTGAAAGTGTGATGCTATAAATTTCTTCTCGGCTTCTTCTGACTCGCACGTTCTCATCGCCTGAAACAAAAACATATTAAAACTGCATCGCTGTTAAATAATTTGGAAGCGAATGACTCTCGCCATCATCCGCTTTTCTTCCTTTCGAATTCGAGTCGCGCGAACATCGATTTCGTCCCGGCTCTAGCACTGTGCAAATAAATTAATCGAGAAATGACGTTAAAAACAAATATTATCTTATCTGGTTACTTGGAATAGTCGTACGTTAGTT